CAACAACTTAATAAGGTTCTGGTGCAGCTGCATCTAAACTTAGACGCCCAGCTGCCCGAACAAACATCATACTCCAGGGTAGCTGTTTCTGAATTATGGCTCCTACAACCAAATAGTAATGCATTTAAAGCAATAGCTGTTGGAATGAATTGAATGTGTGGGGGAGTGACTCGTGAAATACGAGAACTTAATCGCTTACCAAACTTCATGGGTCCCCACTGGTGCTTAAGAGACTCAATATAATGTGACCCCTGTCAGCTCCGCTTGCCTTGGCTTATCGATTACTCGCATATATTTCACACGTATGAATCAAGAGCTACTAAAAGAATTTCGATACAATATTATTCACAATAGCAAAACGCCCATGTTTCGTCAGTCGGCGGGATACTGTCTGGTTGTCTGAGCTAAGTGAATTTTCGAAGGGAATTCAAGATTGATCGGTTGAGTTTCCCATCATCGCCAGCGGTGGTAATGTAATAGAAAAAAGTATTTGTTCCCGTGTAGAAGTCTAGGTATAAGGCGTCAATAAAACCGGCGTTTATCTGTTGAAATTTTTTATTGTGACAAACTGCACTACCCGGTCTCCTAGACCACAGGTTAAGCTACCTAAATTATATCACCCCGAGTTTNCATTGACGCGTGGAGTGCTAGCCATTGATAGTCGGTGTTCGATCGATCAAATCAGGTGAGGTTCATTCATTCAGTAGTACAGTGAATTCTTATCGCTTGACGGCGATCAGCGAATTACTCTTCACTGTGTGTTGATGACGAGGAATGTCCAATCGGTTCTGTAGGTACACCGTCCACAACGCCCCAGGGCCAACTCATCTCTTTTATGCGGAGACTATTACGATAAACTCGAACCTGCTTAGTCGGCTAAAGATATTCAAGATCACGACTTTGAACTAAGCTGACAAAACCGCCTTACCTTTGATGGCTCAACGAACTAACGTTATCAACCGTTGGTCAAAGAAACCAAATAGTCTAGTAGCGTGACTAACTATCATTTCATCCCGATGTTTATAAACAACTTTTGTCTGGTGCTGTAGAGGCTTGAGAACGGGTATTCGTAAACCATTCTTTGCTTTAATTATTCTAACAAAACGTGAGTATAATCCTGAGGTTTTTCCAAGGCAATAGAGGGCCTAATGTATGTTGCAATGGAAGCGGAAATTCCATTCGCTTAGGACAACATTCACTTAGGGAGTTCATAAAACATAATTGATCATTAATAGTGTAATCGTCTGGATCGAGGGTACAGAAACGTCCAGGAGCACGGTACTAGTGATCACAGAATCCTCGTTAGCAAAAATATCCTCCAAATTCAATTATATAAGCTGCAATAAAAATTTAGTTGGATTTGAACACTAGGAACAACTCATCTCCAACACCAGCAAAATTCCTCCAGTGCTAACTACCACAAAGGCCCAGTGTTTGACAAATAGTCGTGTACTCGACCACTGAAGTTGTAGGTTAAAGCTAAAGCACTTGGAATAATTTCCGATCAGGGAGTCGGTGCACATGCGACTTGTCGCACGAAGTTCCTGCTACACCGGTGAAAGCTGGATGCGCTAGCTCATAAACTGTTGAACATGGAAATCAGGAAAAATAACTTTGTCTAAAGTCTAAGGGTATTGGTTAGAAAAGGACTGAGAAGTTTTGTGTGATTTGTGTGATGAGCTGGATTGGAATGTGTATGCAGAGCTTGACTTTAAGGCCAGTTGAGTTCACTCCCAGTTCCATTTGTATA